TTTTGAAACAGGGTCTCCCTGTAGCCCCAGCTGTCCTGGAACTCACTATGTAGACCAGGCTGGCCTTGAACTCACAGAGATCCCCTGCCTCTGCCTCCCGAGTGCTGGCATTAAAGGTGTGCGCCACCACGCCTGGCCATTTGCTTTTTTCACTTATTCTAAAGAGAAAAATCTACTACTGTAAAGAAACCTGCTCTGAAATCTAAATGCACTTCCTTCCACACTTCTTCTTGTCCTTCAAAAGCAACTGCTTGGTTTTGCAGTGAAAGGAACTGATGGGAAGTCCCTTTTCATATCTGCTCCAGCCGCCTGCCTTTTGTCCATGTGAGTCTCAAACCCTCAGATAGCAGATGAGTCCCACACTCCCTTCTGTTCCCACTGAGAAAGATCCAGATTAGCTCTCAATCACCTCCTCCAGGTCTCCTGGTTTTCTACCCTTCAGACAAATAGTGGACTGTGAAGTATTCATAGGTTTCAAGTTTCTAAGAACACAGAATAGAAACAGAGAAAGAACAGAAGCTTGTTTTAGACGTAGGTATACTTGCTTATGTTATGTTCTTAGTCTTAAAGTAAAAATTTACTTTCTGATGTCCTAGCCAAAAAAGGTTTGAAAGACTGCTTTAGACAAGCCCAGGACATTGGTCCCGTATTCAACAGCTCCTTTCTCCCATGTGGTTCAAGCTCTGAGCAGACGTGCAATTATCTTCCTCATGGACTATCTTCAGAAACATTGGCCTTTTACATTGATTCACAAACTCCTTATATATTCACAGGATTACCTTCCCCTAAATATGCCCATGTTTTCTAGGCAAAGAAACACCCATTACTATGTCTGCTTTACTCTAGCTTCTAGGGTCTGGGATCTGTCTGCAGAATATCCAAAGGCCTCCCCAGGAACAACAGGCCTCAGAACAGCAAGACTCAATGCCTTTGTGTGCTACCTTTCATCCTCAACAAGGAAAAAACACTGCCAAAGTATCTCAGGCTTCCTTACAAAATTAGCCTCACTTTCCCAATGTGCTGTTTTTATACCTAGTACCTGAGGCCAGCTGGGTGAATACAGCTGTCCCTACTGTCCAGTTAAAGTCTGCCTGTCCTGCTAAGGACAGATGGTTACTCCACCTCCATGCTGTTCTTTTTTCCTTCACCAGGAAAGTATAAGTAGGAAGGCACCAAGAGACTGTACCAGCTGGGTGGGATCCCGTTCCTCTCAAGTAAGGACACAGCTGTCCAACATAACTTCACCCTTGTCCAAATGCCCACCATTTCCAATTAATCATCTTCCTCAAAAGGGAAATTACATGGGTCTGGAGAGATGGCTCAGCAGTTAAGAACACTGGCTGTTCTTACAGAAGACCAGGGTTCGAATCCCAGCACTCACATGGCAGCAAACAACTGTCAGTAACTCCAGTTCCAGGGGATCTGATTGCCTCTTCTGACCTCTTCAGGCGCCCATGACATGGATGCATTTACCTAGATGCAGGCAATACATGCTTACACACAAAATAAAATTTTTTTTTAAAAAAAAGAAACTATAGTTCTATATAGCTCAGTGTAGACTGTCTAGCTTGCTCTTCTCAGTCCAAGTGAGTATCTTCTTCTGAACCTTCCAAGAGACACTAAAGTTCAAATGAATCTTTATAAAATAGGGAGTATTAATTGCAAAGAATGGTAGAGCGAGGTTTTCTTATGAACTAAATTGTCTGGTGCCATTGAACAAATGTAGACTCAGCTTTGAGAGAAGAATAGGACATCCTTGGTCTCCTTAAGAGCACCAAGGGAGAAGACAGAACAAGTCTGATGATTGTAGGACTGCTGCACTGGATGCTGAAGGGCAATAAATACTCAAAGGGAGAGGGACAGATGAGCCTCAAGACTGTTACACTCCTTTTCTGCACTGTGGCGGCTTTCCCATTTCCCATCATGAGTCCTGGCTCCTTTGTCCCATTAGTTATCTGCTTCAGCTGGAAGACTGCCATGCCCTCACTGAGGTAGAACCCCTTTCCCACTTGTTTGCAGGAAATGCTATTCATCAGCCTGACACTCGGTGTGACTTCTGGGAGTTCCCTACTCCAGGGGATTCCCTCCCTAACACAATGGAGCTCTCTAATGGCAATTTCAGAAAATGAGGGAAATGACAGGTGAACTTTTGGATCTGAACTCAGGGGTTGTATCCAGAAGACCCTCAGCAAGGTCCAGGCTTGGACCTTGGGGATTGTTACAACATTTCCACCCTCTGACAACTGTCACTCCTAGTCACTTCCAAGTGAATATGGGGCTTTAGTAGCAGAGAGCTACAGCTCTTTCCACCTGGGTGAAGGTGGCTCAGTGGAAGGAACATAAATACAAAGCTAATAATAATGACTAAGCAGCTGGGTCCAAGGCATCCGGCCCAGACAGATAAAATTCACAAGATGACAGGGTAAACAGGCAAACTCTGGAGGGAGGCAGTATGGTGAAAAGGAGTTGCAGGAGGAGGGGGGTATAAAAAGGAGCTCCCTCAAAGGAATTCTCTGGATCATCACATTGGGAGAGGGGAGGCAAATAAACTAAACCCAGGGTTCCTCAGGCCAGTCGCTCAAGTTTTCTAACATGACAGAAGTACACATTTCAAATTTAGTTTCACCCATACAATGTAAGGAAAATGAACACAAGATTTTTTTTTAACCTCATTTAAGAAGGGAAGTGGGATTCCCAAGTTTACTGTATTAGGTAGCTACGCAAATGTTAAGGCAGTGCTTAACCCCACACCATGTGTTCATGCATTTCATTTTAAAACATTTCCATCCAAGGCCCATTTTTCCAGTTTCGTTTCTGAAGGTTTTACTAAAATAAGACTTGTGTCTACTTCACACATTAATTCCCACCATCCAGACAACTCTTTTATCTTGCCTCCAAATCGGTATCTGAATTAATTTAAATATCAAAGATCACTTTTTATATTTTACGATTTCATATGCGTGTGCCCATTGACCCCCAAATGCATGAAACTAAAAAAATACAGGCCGGCAACAGTGGCTCTAAACTGAACTTTAACTACTTTTCGCAGAGGCTATCCTACCATCTTGGGAAGATAGGTAAATGCTGGCGTTACGAAGCCCATTTCATGACTGGGTAAACTAAGACACTTAGTTTAATCAGCTCACCAAGGGTTACAATGGTAGAAAACATTTGAAAACAATTCTCCCTTGCACTCAGTCTCTTTCCCACTAGACTTCAGCACTCGGTGGCTAAAAATGGGACCCACTTAAAAGCTACAAGAGTATATAAAGCCACTTGTTTTAGAAAGGCGGGGGGGGGGGGTTGCACTTGATGCACCAGAGATTGTGCGGGTCCCTAACTAGGCGGCCCCCGAGGCCCAGAGGTTGCACCCACCCGCTTTGGGCTCAGACCCCCACCCCGGGGGCGCGGGTCGCCCAGGAGAGCCAGGATCGGATCTTGCTACCCGGGAAAAGGAGAGTGGACCACCAGGCGGCGCGGGGGCCGCGGGTCCCGGACACCACCTGCTCGTGCAACCCCGGAGAGGCGAGGGGATCTCGGGCGCGCGACCCGGCCGCACGAAGGATGCTGCGCCGCTGCACACCTGCCGGAGCCCGCCCGCAGCCCCGCCGCCTCCCGCGTCCATCCAGCTCCGCCTGGGTGACGGAGCCTCGGCCGCGCTAGGCCGGGGTGCGAGGCGCCAGCCCTGCCCGCGGGCTGCGCTGGGCGGCGGGGCCGGGCGAGGCGAGGCCACCCTCCTCCCGGATCCCTTCCAAACGGCGTCACCTGTCCGGGTCCCGGGACGACTCGCGCGGACGGCGGCTGCGCGGGGCCGGGAGAGGACAGCAGTGCTCACAGGCGCTTGGTCATCCGGTCCGGCCAGAGGGCTGGCGCCGGCCGGAGCCACCCGCGAGATACTCGCGGGAGCCGGGGAAGCTGCGGGCGCGGGCCGCGTGGAGGAGCAGTCGCCGAGGCTTCAGTTCTAGCCGCGGCCGCCGCGCCAGCCCCGACTGCGGGCTCGGGTTACCGCAGAGCGGCTCCTTAAAGGGGCCGCGACTGCTCGGACTCCGCGGCTGCTCGTGGCGCTCCGACCCCAGGCCAAAGTGGGCGGGGCCGGGCCGTCCGCGGGGCCCACCTCCGGGTGCGAGCGCTCAAACCCCGGGCAGGGCTCCAGGCCGCGAGCGCCCGCGGGGCCTGCGGCCGAGCCCTGAAAGATCGCGGCTCGCCCGGGGCGCAGCGTGCGGCGCGCGGGCTTTCCGAGCAAGTCACAGACCTCACGGGTGGGGAGAAGCATGCGAGTCCGCCCCCGCGGCGGTCAGGGCCCCAGCTCGCCACGTAACCAAAACATTTTTTCGATGATGAATTCTGCCTTCTATGCCTAAATGCTGTGTAAACGATCGGCATGGTTTGGTTATCAGAAAGGGGACGAAAGGGCATCTGCTATTTTTTTTTTTTCTGCCACGTCTGACTTGGCCAACGTCGAGCCCCGCCCAGTTCTCCTTTGAGGCCGCAGGTACATGCCAAACCGGGTACGAGGCGCGTGCGTGGAAGAGGCGTGTTCTCTCTGCGCAGCCTCCTTCCAGGTCCCTGGAGAACACCCTTAAAAGGGTGGCTGGAGGGTTGCGGGTGTAGGTTTTCCCTAGCATGCCCAAGGCCCTGGAGTCCATCCCCAGGTAATAAAAATAGATATACTACCAATACACCTACATCCAAGACCCTTGTGCTGTCAGGGTGTTTAAATAGAATTTGAATTTTTTATGAGAATCTCAAGTTGCTCAGTCCATAAAGTTTGCTTTTTGACACGTTATATATGCCTCCCTGGACCAAGATAGAATTGTTTGGAATAAAGCAAAATGATGAAGAGGAATATTTAGGCTATTGTAATTTGCAAAAAGCAACCACAAGTCTTTTGGGAGGAGGTAAGTTCTAAACAAATTACTTGTAAATGCTATCATTAATAATACAGGGCAGTTATTTGTGAGAAACCCTACTAGTACAACTAGCATATTTGACCTAATGGATATATATAAAATCTGCTGCAGATTTAGGCCGAAGAATGCACACACTACTTCACAGGAAGGCAATAAAACTGAAATCAAAACCTGGAATTCTATTTATTAGAGCTGTCTTCAGCTAACTGGCCTCACCTAAGCTCAATTTCTTCATCTATATAAATGGAACAATTCAGTTATTTCTGAAAGCCAGGGACTTGGCAGAACCCCAGGATGACTTGGAAGACAAAACCTCTATCAACCTACAGGGTCAGAAATACAAGCAAGGAGGAAGATCTGCCCAAGACTCTTAAAGCATTCCAGGGCAGCAGTGCAGTGACCACACCTGCTTCACCATAGATACTTTACAAGCTGCCTAGTCCCTGACTGTTTACCTTTGTTCCATAGTTGCTTTGTATATTCATGTGGCTATCTCATAACTCCGTGGGCATGTGATAGTTATATGCAGGTATCTGTGGGGTCAGTCTACACAGGGCAAATTTGTGTTATCTCGGGACGCTGTATGAACACTACCTTTTACAGACGCGGTCCTGCACTTATCAGTACTGGATGTCAGTTCTGTTCTCTCCTGATATATGCACTATCATTACCTTTGACATCTATAATTCTCTGACTCCAGTAATAACCCAGCAAGCCAAGACAACCCACAGCAATACACTAGACTCCATGCCTTACTATTCCTTCATATTAGGCCTCTGTGAATGCATAATCAAACCGTAGGGGTGTTTTAAAGATTACACAGAACATAGTGAGTATATCAAGGACTGAGATGTGAAAAGAATTCAGTAAACAGTATTTGAATATATTTTTTTTTTTTTTTTTTTTTTTTGGCTCTTTGAGGCAGTCTCACTGTAGACCAGGCTGGCCTCTAACTTCATTCATGAGCCACTGCACCCAGCTTGAATGTTTAAAAAAAAAAAATTCTTTTTTGATCGTTTTTGAGACAGGGTCTCCCTGTAGCCCCAGCTGGCCTGGAACTCCCTATGCAGACCAGATTGGCCTTGAACTCACAGAGATCTACCTGCCTCTGCCTCCAGAGTGCTGGGATTAAAGGCACACACCACAATGCCCAGCTAAAAACTACTTTTAAAATATAAAATAGCAAGGTAGTTCAGTGAAAGGAATTAGAAAATTGCCTCAGTTCTGCTGTTCGTGAGATGGAACCTAATTGACAGTTTAATCAGAAAGCTTTAGCTACAGTTAGGACTGAGAATATAGCTCAGAGGTAAAGCCCTTGCCGGGCATGTGCCAGGCCCTGAGTTCATCTGGGACATGGGATTGGGAGAGGAAGGCAAAAGGAGAAGAGAGAGAGGGAGAAGGAAGGGGAGATAGAAGGAATTTGAGTTAGTAAAATAAATAAATAAATAAATAAATAAATAAATAAATAAATAAATTTTTCCTGTATTAGAGTTGTTAGTGTATCAAAAAGGTTTTGTCAGATTTTCTGAGTATTTAAAAGTACTTTTAGGGCCAGGCATGATGGCTCATGCCTTTTTACATCCCAGTATCAAGGTCAGCATCTTGGTCTACCTAGTGAGTTCCAGGACAGCTGGGGCTACAGGAAGACCCTGTCTCCAAAAGACAAAAAAAAAAAAAAAAAAAAAAAAAAAAAAAAAAAAAACCCTAAAGAACCCTTATTGCTTTTGGTTCCCAGCACCCACATAGGGCTACTCACAACTGCCTGTGACTCCAGCTCCAGGGAGTTAACACCTCTGGCCTCCCTCAAATGCACATGCACACACACACACACACACACACACACACACAGACAAGCACAGTTACCAATAACTAAAACTACAATAAACTCTCACTACATAGACACAGGTGACACAGAACTCATAGAGATTCACCTTCCTCTGCCTCCCAAGTTCTGGGTTTAAAGGTGGGGGCCACCACGCCTGGCTTTCTAATGATATACCAATGTTTCTTTTTTTTTTTTTTCCAAGATTTTTAAAAAATATTTTATGATTTTTATTTTATGTGTATGCGTGTAGGTAAGCGCACCCATGTCGTGCAATGCCCAAAGAGGACAGAAGCGGCTGTCCAATCCCCTGGAACTGGAGTTAGTACAGTTGTTAGCTGCCATGTGGGTGCTGGGATTCAAACCCCGGCCTTCTGCAAGAACAACCAGTGTTCTTAACCGCTAAGCTATCTCTCCAGTCCCATACAAATTTCTTAATTTTCAGCTCTGAGCATTATTTACTGACATCCTGTCACACTATTTGAAGACCCAGCTCTTTTCCACAGCATTATTACCACCACTTCTCCCATCCCACTCTACCTCCCAAATCAGATTCATCAAAATCAATAAACAGTAATTAGGGTTTGCATCATCCTGAGAAGGTAAATATAATGCATTGCTGAGTCATGTAATGTGCCATGTAACATTTTTCTTGAGTGTTTCCTTCCTGAACTTAATGACTGGTCTTTTTCACTTTTTAGAAAAAAAAAAAAACCTAACCTAAATTCTACCCAAATTCTTTAACATACCCATCAAATGCCTGTCGGTGATACCTTCTAGTGCCCAAATGTGTGACTTTGAATTTACTCTTATTTTGTTGAAGCACCAACTCAGTCCCTCACTCAGAGGCGGCACATAGGAAGCAAATATTTAGAATCTGAAAGTGTCTTTTTCTGTTCTGCCAGTGCGGTTGAACCACCCAGTGCCTTTCTGGTGCCTGGCCCTCTGTATCTGAGTTGTTCTTCATCTTCTCCATTATTTTTGATAGTCTGAAATTTCCCAATAATGTAGCTTAGACTCTTTTCATTGATTGTATTGATTGAACACTAAGGGGTTTCTACAATTTTTTCCTCTATTTCCTTGTTAACTTCCTCCCACGTTTTTTTGTGACTTCTTGGTGGTACAATTTTAGAAGATGTATTTGGTTCTCTAAACGCACTGCCCTTTATCCTCGTCTCCATCACTGCCATCCCTTTCTTAAGGTCTCTACAGAGGTTTTCAAAGGGAGTTGTACAATTGGGCTGTTGGGACAGTGTATGAAGGTATTTATTTTCCACAGGAAAATGATGCTAGTTTGAGAGTCAAAAATTCTCTTAGTCTGGCAAGATGGATCATCAGGTAAAGGTACCAGCTGCCAAATCTGATGACTTGAGTTCTATCACTGGTACCAAGTGGTGGAAGGAAAAAAAAAAAAATCAACTCCTGTAAATTGTCTTCTGACCTCAACATGCATGCCATGGGCCAGCGTATGCACATGCTTGTACACACATACAAACAAACAAATGTAATGATAGTTTGTATCTTCAAAAAATGGTCCATGCTGGGAGTGGCAGCACACTCCTGTAGTCCCAGCACTTGGGAGGCAGAGGCAGGTGGATCTCCGTGAGTTCAAGGCCAGCCTGGTCTACATAGTTCCAGGACACCTGGGGCTACAGGGAGACCCTGCTTCAAAAAGACAAAAAAAAAAAAAAAATCTCCATGGTAGAAAATATATTAAAATTCATTTTTTGAGGGCTGGGTGTGGCAGCACAGGCCTTTAATCCCAGCATTTGGGAGGCAGAGGCAGGTGGATCTCCGTGAGTTCAGGGCCAGCCTGGTCTACATAATGAGTTCCAGGCCAGCTGGGGCTACAGGGAGACCCTATCTCAAAAAGACCAAAAAATAAAAAAAATTTTTTGGAAGACTTACAATGAAATGTCTGTAAACACTGTCAAATATATTCCAATAAACTGTAATATTCCAAAATGCTAATGTAATAGTGGCTAACCAAAAGTTGAGAAGAAATCAATTATGGAATAAGGAAAATTTTCATTATTAATGCCATCTATAGAGAATAATATATTAGAAAGTATAGTGTCATTAATAAAAACACCATCTGGATAAAAAAATTTAACTTTATTAATTTTGCCTCCAGCCAAAAAGAATTTTACAAGCATATAGAGATGAACATCAAAATGTTTAACCAGAAAAACCATCTTTATATGACTAAGAAGCTCATTTTACTCCTTGACCATGTATAGATAGAATTTAAACTCTTAGAATTCAGACTGGTTAACACCCAGTTTTCAGAAGGAACATCATCTGCAGTGTCTCTCCATCTCTCTATTTGACTACAAGATGGCCAACCCCCTAGAGAGCTGAGTGTCAGCCTCGACTCCCTCCTGATCACACAGCATTTGGCGCCTGAATTAGAGCAATTACCAGCAAATGAATCTCCCTT